GATCGTTTAACTTTTCATCTTTTACCTATCTGAGGACCACCGATTAGCACTATTCTTCCTGGAAAGCGAGGTACGCCCACGTCCTTTCAGACTGTTCTCCCCCCCCCCCCTATTGTAGAAATCACTCAGTACATCCAGTAACTATGCAGCGTCCTTCTGTCGCTCTGGGATTCTGAAAAGGTTCCATGAAACATGAGAAGGTTCTCTAATGCATTTGCCTTTTTGCAATACATTTACCTTACAATACACCCCCACAAAGATCTTTACCATGGAAATCTTTATTTTTCCCACCTTCACAATCGGATTGAATTGCCGCTCATCTCTCACGGACGTAACAATTAAGAAGCTCGTAAGCTTATTTTTCTAGCATACAAGAATCTTTTTATCGCTAAGTTTCCGGAGATCAAATATTAGAAGTTTCGAGGGAAGATAATTATTTGAACAGTATGAGTAATTGACGTCATCTGAAGGGAACTGTCCCATCTCCGATGAACAACACAGATTAGCATTTCAATGACCAATTTCGCCCCCAAACTTATCCTACTATTGTTTCGTCATCTGCTATTTAGAGAGCGTTTGTGAGCGATTCGAGGAAATCAGGACATCAAAAAAATATCACACTTTTTGTTATCTCTGTAATCACAGGAACAGACCTAACGCTACACCTAAAAATATATCGCGCAATTAGATTAATTGCAGGAAAACACCTACATAACCTCCATCCTCTTGCTCCGTTCAAATATCAAACAGTATCACTTTTGAAGCTACGTCATAAAAGGCGTCAAGCTGAGAGGGAAAAGGACTGCTGGTGGCGCAAGGGACAGTGGCGCACTTGCCTGGGAAGTACAAGGTGCGGGCTCGAGTCCCTCTCGGGATCAACAACCCTGCCCTTAACTTAGTAGTCTTGTCACTTTGAGAGCGCGAACTGCGCGTTAAACAGCAGGCGTAGCAGGCATCTTAAAAAGACAGTATCAGCTCATGCTCTGTGATAAAAATGGTCATAATAATGATAATGATAAAATGTTATGATAACAAAGAGATAAAAAAGTCTTCGCCGCTGGCTTAGTGGCGAGTGGCACGCTTATCACGCATGGGTCCGGAGGTCAAATCCCAATCGGCTCCCGTAAGAGCCAGTTGTGCCTCCTACCCTCCAAGGACGGTAAATTGGTACCAGATTCGTCTGGGAGGATAAGAACACTGACTTGTACATCGGCTGGCCCCCGCAAGTCATTGTATAGGCCACATCGCACTCCATACGATTCTGAATGGAAGTGGAATCATGCATTCATGCCCAAAAGGGATTAATTAACGACGAAGACTTTCCTTTATGCTTTTTATCATATGTGATGTGCTGAACCCAACTTAAGGTGCAAAAAAAGGGCAGTTTGGTGACAGGGGGGATCACGTTTGCTACGTCCCGTCGACGTTTCGAGCCATCTAGAGAGCCATTTCATGAGCTTACAAGAGTTAACAGGTCCTAACAGGGTGGCTTGACGATATTGCTCCAGCTTTACAAGAGTTCACAGGTTTTGCCAGGGTAACCACTGGGCACAGTTTGCCGACGGAGGGGGGGGGGGGGGCATTTTGCACTTTTGCTACTTCCCATCGACGTGTCGACCTATCTAGACAGCCTCTTCTCGAGTTGACAGGTTTTAACATGATGGCTTGACGACCTTGTTCCAGCTTCACAAGAGTTCACAGGTTTTGCCAGAGTGAGACATGTAAACCGGAACTAAGGAAGCAATAACAGTACGAAATGCCTCCTGTAGACAAATAGCGCTTGACCACTGGTAAGTGGTGATGCATTGGAAGTGCAAAATGCTCCCCTCCCCCTGCGTCGTAAACTGCACCCAAAAAAGTTCCAGGTTATATCCTGACCTCTCTCTCCTGAATCCTGGTTGGTTTCAGGGGAAGAATCTGAGCACTTCAAAATGTGAACATGAACTTCAAAAATGTAACGACATTAGCTAATCATGAATATCAACAACCATAATATTTCTGACATTATCAGCTCAATTCAACAATTCCAGAAGCTTCTCCGGAATATTAAATGCCTTGAGTTGCAAAAAAGCCGCTAGATCAATTGTTTCTTGAATATCAGCAAGTATTGCATTACCCAGGATAAATTAATCCCAAGTAAGAAGGAGAAGGGCAAATAGTTCCCTTCACTAGGCTTCTTTGAATAGCAGAAGTCTCATAATACGCAGACCTCCACTGAGCTGAGTGATAAGAAAGGGTTTAGCATTTCGAAAAATATCGTTTTGCAGCTTAAAAAATAGCAGATGCAGTCATTTGCTATTTTCAAATATCACCAAGTATACAATTTCTTTTTATAGTCTCAAGTGGCAGCTTACACAGTTAAGAAGACATTAGATATTGACATTCAGCTGAGCCCAATAGGGCAACTATAGCAGCTATTTGTATAACGCTGCAAAAACTTCGGGCACAGTTCGGCTCGGAAGGGTTTTTGCAGGTTCCTATCGAATCACACGTTAAACCTTGGTGAGACTCGTAGATTCTTTAAATGTATAGGAAGTATCTGCTGCAGCTAGCTTTACAGGTATTTACAGGTCTCTATCAGGGCATTGGCAATTACCGAGAATGGGGAACCTTCAAAATGCCCCCTCCGAGCCGTTTTGTGCAAAACATCACATTTTCCACGATGACATAAAGGCCTCAAGTAACTTATGGTGAGTTGAACTTCAAAATGAGTCACTGCAGTGAGCTAAGGGGTGACTCATTGCTGACCAGGCGAAATGAGGGGTTCAATTACTGGCAGGTGATCCTATCCGCTATGTCATGAGATCACTTGTGTTCAATAGCGCTTTCGTCACCAAGTACGGTATCTTTCACATACGTAGTTCTGGTGACAGAAGCGCCATATGTTTTAGTCCGCAGCGGTTTTAGCCA